AGGGAAAGAATTACGTGACTATCTAACCACCTATTTTATTTAATTTAATCTTAATTCCGTGACTTAGCTAAGGAAAAAATGGTCCAACTTAAAATAATTGACTCCAAGTTACAATATTTTTAAAGTGATTGCTATTGTGGGGACCTTTGGCAGTGGCTTCCAACTTCGAAATGACCACATATATAATAAGACGACTTGCATTAGCTTGCTTCATAAATTAATAAATTAGCAATTATATAATCAAAGGTATATATATGTGTATATGTATATGCATTATCAAATTACGCTAAAAAATGAATTGCTTACGGAATTTCAATTTTATGATAAATTATGGTTATATTATATTATTGTTATTGTTGTTATAATATTCGCTTTTGTACTAAAAAAAAAGGTGTTTCAAATTGAAATATTTTTATTTTCATAAAGAAAAAGAAGAAGTTGCATATGTAATTTCTTGGAAACTTTTGTGTTAAGAGGATGGGGATATATTTTTTCTATAATGCAATTTTAGTCAAATGGACACCACAAAATCATTAGGAAATTTTCAAGGTGGTAACAAGAAATTCCCTCGAAATTGTATTTGTATTAATTTTGATTTAAGTCACTGTCACATATCACTCGCAGTCTTGCACCTTACCGTCTTTCTTTGGTTAATCCAACAAAAAACCTCAAACTTATTAAAATATTTTATATAAAACTATAAACTTGCAATCTCCAACCCTGAATTTGATAAAAACTTCCATAAAAATTACAAACTTAGAATTTTCTTTTATATAAAATCTTTGATTTATTCGACCAAAAATTTTGTTAACGTGGCACCACGTATTGCTGACATGGCACTGATTGAGTTGCCACGTTAACGTCATCATTTTAAAAATTAAAATATTTGATAAAAAAATATATATACAAATATATTTATATATATAAATCTATATATATTTAAAATTTATATATTTGATTAAAATATTTGTATATTTAAAATTTTAAATTACAAACTTAAGATATATACAAATATATATATATATATATATATATATATATTTGACAAAACAATATATGTATGTATGTATATAGGTATATGTATATATATTTGTATATTTAAAATTTTAAATTACAAATTTAATATATATACAAATATATATGTATATGTATATATATTTGACCAAAAATTAGAAATTTATATTTTAATTTTTAAATGACAATGTGCAATGACGTGTCAATTTCGTCAGCGTTATATCAGAATACGTGGTGCCACGTTAGCAAAAGTTTTAGTCAAACAAGTCAAAGGATTTATACGGAAAAAATGGTAAATTTGTAATTTTTGTGAAAGATTTTATCAAATTCAGAGTTTTTTGTGAGAGATTGCAAGTTTAAGATTTTATATGATTAACAAGTTTGACGTTTTTTTTTAGGATTAACTTTTTATAAAAAAATATTTTTTTTTAATTATGTGTGTGTAACAGCTAATTCGAGCACGTTTTAAATTGAATATGACAAATCTTCACGGGTTTCTCCCCTCAAAATTGTATATTATTAGGTGAAGACACCATCCACGATTTATTTTTTTTATTAATCATTTTATTAATCATTTATTTTCTTTTTTCTTTCTTTTTTTTATCTATATGCATTATTCTTAATATCGTTACTGTTATTTATTTTCATATATCACCCACTAATGCACAAAATTTTATAACATTATTAAAAAATTTGATATAAATTTCTTTAATACAGAAAAAATTGATATACAATTATTATCAGTTTTTCATTAAAGATAAAATTTATTATATTATAACAAAATTTTATAACACTATCCTACATCACTTCTTGCTAGGAATGGGCGAACGGTCGGTTTCGGGTTAATCGATTACGGTTATTTCGGGTTTGGTTATTTCGGATTATGAAAACGCATAACCAAACGGTTAATTAAGTTTATTCGGTTCGGTTCGATTCGGTTCGGTTTTGTCTATTTAAAACTATAACCAAATTATAACCAAATAAAGATTTCGGTTCGGTTCGGTTCGGTTAAACAAAACATAATAATAAAAAAATCATCTCAATAAAAAAATCATCTCAACATAGTCTTTCATCATCGTGACAAAATAAAACGGCAAATTAAACAAAAATATTGTTGTGTCCGTATTGTCAATACAAAAGCAAATTCAAAAGGCTCCACGTCTAAATCTTCTCGTAATCGCATCTCCATTTTGCAAACCTTAAAAATAATAAAACAATAAGTAAGTAAGTATTAATAAATACAATGTAATATAAAATTATAATCGAGATAAAAAGAATTACCATGATTCGTCTTCATCTTCTTATACAGATAAATCACTTTGTCCCGATGTGTTTTGGAATTCTTTTGCAAACAAAAAAAATCTATATGTCATTAAATTAAAGCTTTACATTACATTTAACAAACAAAGTAAAAATAATGAGAAATACCTTCGACCAATACATACATAAAATCGTTCTCTGCGATCACATCACCAAAGTTACGATTTTCATCGGAACAAATAGGATATTGCAACCAATTTTGCATAAGGATCAATGACTCAACCATATCGGGAGTTAAACAACTCCGACATTGGTCTAGAATGCGACCTCCGGTACTAAATGTTGATTCAGATGAAATGATAGAAATCGGAAATGCCAATATATCTCTCGCCATTTCTGATAACATGACAAAATATCAAATTTCAGACCTAAATTGTTAGGTTTGATCACTTCAACTTTTTCCATCAAATAGATATCCAACTCATTCGGTGATTCCTCAATAACCCCTTTGTCCGCCATCATTTGACTGAATGAAGCAAACAGATCATCATCTTGTATGAAACCAATGTCAATATCAAAATCATTGGCACCCATTGACAATTCGCACGAATCTGTATTACCAACCATTCTATTTCTACTTCCACTCCCTTCTCCATGTAGTACTTTGTGGTTGTACCATTCATAATACGAGCCAAACAAACTACGCATCACTTCAGTGATGCCCCTCCTCATTTCACCACCTTTAATGCTATTTTTACCATAAAGCTTGTCAAAACAATGAGATATAAAACTCATCTTACTCCTTGGATCAAACACAGATGCAATAATCAATAACTTATTGATTTTTTCAGTTCCCTCCCAATACTTGTCATACTTATTCTTCATCTTCTTCGCCATCTTGCTCATTTCATGATCGGGATTGTTAACCAATGATGATAGAACCGATTCAACCTTTATGATCTCATTGTAACAACTACTAGAAGTCACCTTTGTAGAAGCTGAAAATGTCAAAGTCGATTCAGAAAATGTCTTCAAGAATCGTACAAATCGACGAGCATTTTACCAATCATATTCTGAAGGAGGACCAACTCTTTTCTTCCCGATCCTAAATTCATACTCATCACCAAAATAATCCTCATAAAGTTTGTCTTCTCTTTCCATACGCTTAAATGTTTCCTTGTACTTCAAAACAGCAGACAACATTAGAAAAGTCGAGTTCCAACGTGTCCCACAATCCAAAACTAAACTTTCTCTGCTAAAGTTACCACCCCCAACTCGACTTTTGAAAGCCTGCAACCTTGTATCGGATGATCTCAATATCTAACAGCGTTACGAATATTGCTCACACTATCACATATATATATGATAACCCCTCTTTAACAATCAGATTGAGAATATGTGCTCCACAACGCATATGCATGAACTCACCCTTCAATACAAGAGTATCTTTATCCCAAGCACCCAATCTAGTTTTTAAGAGCCTCATAGCACTGTCGTTTGCACTAACACTATCAACAGTGATAGCAAACACTTTCTCAATGCCTCAATCCATCAAACATTTCATAAACTCTCTAGCAATTGTCTCTCCTTTGTGATCTGAAATAGGCCTGAACCTAAGAATTTTTATATGCAAACACCACGTTCTGTCGATAAAGTGGGGGTGATAACCATGTAACTCATTGTTGTAATGGAAGTCCAAATATTCGTCGTGAAAGAAACTCTCTGCTTATTCTCACTCAATATGCTCTTCAAAGCAGCTTTTTCAATCAAGAAAAACTGATAAACATCTCTAGTTATCGTTCTTCTCGAAGGAATCACAAATGGCAGGAACATATAATATTACAGAACTTCTTAAATCCTCTACCTTCAACAATTGCAAGAGGCAATTCATCCGTTATAATCATCTCAAAGAGCCCTCTTTTACATGCCTCTTGGCTAAAGCCGACGGCAATAAGTTTTGAATCCCCTGTTTTAGACTCATCATTCTTTAAAGTTTTCTGAGCTCCACTTTCAAGATAACTCTTATACGCTTTGCAGGTATTCACAATGTGGCTTCTCAAACTACTTGTACCCGTTGCTGAAGACCCATTCAATATAACGCCACAGTAGTTACAAGAACATTCCGTGAGTTTAGTAAAATGAGTCCATACCTCCGATCTTGCCGGAACTACCCTTTTTGATTTAGGAGGTTCTTTTCTCTTATCTCCAACGGTTTCAGCTCCTGTTTCAGCTCCTGTTTCTGTAACCTCAAATAATTCCAAATTTGAACTAGCCATCTGTAAATACAAAAACAATATGAATGAGCCAAAGTATTTCAAATTCAATCAT